AGTACTGGAGGCAGAAGCAGGGGTCTGAGGCTAGCCTGTGCTGCGACGGAGGCCGATTCAAGAAGCAGAACAGCTGGGCATGGGGGTGCACGCCTTTAATCTCAGCACTGGGGAGGCAGAGGGAGAAGGAGCTCTGTGAGTTCGAGGCTAGCCTGGTCTGCATAGCGAGTTCCATGACAGCCAGGACAATATAGAGAGACCCTGTTTCAGCAACACCCCCCCCCCCCACACACACAAATAAACAAACAAAACCAAAAATAAACCTAGCGGGTTTGGGGAGATAGCTCTGCCCATAAAATGGTTGTTATGCAAGCATGAGGACCTGAGTTGATCCCAAGAACGTTAAGAAAAAAAGAAAACTACAAAAAGTTGGATAGGATGGTGGGGTGGTGAGTTTTCCTTGTAATTCCAAAGCATGAACACTAGTAACCATACGACAGTCGATACTAGGCTGTTCTGAGATTCTTTTCTGCCAACGGAATCCAAAACGCTTCACTTTAGCCTCAGGCAGACTCTTTGGACAAGGGCAAAAGGCAGGCACTTTCTTCACCAAAACATCACAAGAATGGTCTCTAGGCAACACACTAAAATTCTCTGAACCCCACAGTTCATCCAGGCACATTCAGTACCACTGTCTTCCAGGTTCCTACTGGTATGGCCCATTAAGTAGCGCTTAAAGCATTCTACTGCTTTCCTAACCCAAACTCCCAAAGTCCATATTACTCCAAACAAAAACATAGTCAGGCCTGTTACAACAATATCCCAGTTTCTGGTACCAACTTTTGTCTTAGTTTGGGGTTTCTATTGCTATGAAGAGACAACATGACCACAGGAATAAAAACTCTTATAAAGGGCAACATTTAATTGGGGTGGCTCACACAGTTTTAGAGGTTCAGTCAATTATCATCGTGATGGGGAAAATGGCGGCATGCAGGCAGGCGTGGTGCTGGAGAAATAGCGAAGTGTCTACAGCTTGCAGGCAACCGGAAGTTGACTGAGACACTATCCTGAGCATAGAAAACTTTAAAGTCTGCCCCTACAGTGACACACTTCCAAGAAGGCCATACCCACTCCAACAAAGCCACCCCTCCTAATAATGGCACTCCCTGTGCGATTATGGGGGCCAATTACATTCAAACTACCACAATGGACTTTGAGTTTTTCTTCCTGTACTGTATTATATATATATATATATATATATATATATATATATATATATGTATATGTATATAGTGTGTGTGTGTGTGTGTGTGTGTGTGTGTGTGTGTGTGCACACACGCGTGCATTTGGAGGTCAGAGGAAAACTTGTGGGAATTGGTTCCTTTCATCATGTGGGCTCTGGGACTTAAACTCAGTCAGGTCAAGTGTGTGGGGCGGTTGGTTTTTTTGGTCTTTTAATGGGTTTTGGGTCTGGGATAATTTTCATTGATTGGGGGGTTGGTTACAAGTTGTTGTCAAGGGTTAGGAAAAAGGCTAAGCAAAGGAGATTAGATTTAAGGTTCTTTTTAAAAAAAAAAAGAAAGAAAGAAAGAAAAGAAAAATGTAAATACTTTACATTGGATTGGATTGTTTTATATTGTATACAAATTATATATATTGAAATTGATATTGTTAGAAAATGTTATATATATTTTTCTAATTGTACCGTTCATCTAACAATGTAATGCAATTTTCTGATCCTTGAATGTTATTACCAACTATTAGGATATAAAGAAATGAAAGTTAGTAGTTAGATATTATAATAGAACTTGTAGTTATATTAGGTATGTTTTCAAGATTGAGTAGATATATTTTAGATAGACAGGTTATCTTCAAACCCTTCAGAGATCTACAGAATATGGCATTTAAAATGTTTTAATAACTTAGAAAATTTTTCTTTTTTGTTATGACTATGAGACATGTCGGCTCCTGGCAGTACCAATCTACTTCAGAGAAAATATGGGCACTGAAGAAACTGCATATGGAGTTAATTTTCATTGTGGCAAAAGTTAGCCACTGGACAACAAAGTATCCTCGAATCAACAGGACAAAATGGACAGACAGGACATAAAACAAAGGATTACTGATTCTTGCCAAAACAAGTGTGGTTATGGCTTTATCAAAAGGCATCTTCAGAGGCCAGGACAATATGGCACCTACCCTGAAGTGGCCTTCGCAATTCGAAAAAGGTACAGTGCCCTTTTCTTCGAAGGCAGCTGAACAGGCAGTGGGCCGATGGCCTCTGATGTGCAATGGAACAGCAGCTGAAACAGTTATTCTTGAAGAGTAACTAAGCTCACGCCTCTCAATAGTAGACTGGCATTTGATAGAGGGATATGGAGAAGAATGGGATGCTGAGATGAAGCCATATATACACAGCCAAGAAGAATGGACAGCTGAATTAAAAAACCATCAACAATTTCCAGAATTTAAAATCCTGAATCATGACATGACACTAGTGGAATTCAGGTGTTTCTGGTACATGGACTACTCTCACTCAATGTGAGGTTGAACTGTTGACCTTGTGTACATCCTACTTCACAAATGAGTCTGTCAGATATGCTAAGCCTATAGGCTGAAGATGATGCCCCAGCACTTCGGAGAAACCTCAGGTGACTGTCCAGACAGCTGTCTGTTTCTGTCAACTCACAAATTTTTTGGAAGTTGCTTATGTGCACTTCCTGTTTTTATTTTTGTTAGCTAATATTATTTCCTTCTTGGGTCTCTGAGGGAGTTGAAGATTAGTTAGTTATAGTTGAAGGTTAGTTAGTTATAGTTGAAGATTAATTAGGATACATTTTGGACTTACCAAAATAGGATAGATAATGAAATTATTTTCTCTGAATTTGTCAAATACAAATGGACTAGACATTGTTTAGGTATTTATTACTTGTATATATTGTATATAGTTATTGTCCTTTTGTATATAGTTTTTCTTATATTAGTTATAAGCTTTTTCTTTTTTTTCTTTTTTATTAAAATAGAAAAGGGGAAATATGGTGATATTTTATTTGTATTAAAATGTTATTTGTATGTTAATAAATAAAGTTGCCCGGGGGTCAGAGCTATTAGCAAGCCATAGGAAAGCAGGGCAGTGGTAGCGTACGCTTGTAATTCCAGCACTTAGTAGGCAGAGCTGGGTAAGTCTCTGTGTGTTCAGGGATACAGCCATTATTGGATACACATGCCTTTAATCTTAATACCAATCATGGAAAACCTGGAGGCCTATACAGACAGGCTGTGAGGAGGCGGTCATGTGGTTGGGTTTACAACCAATGAGAAGGCAGGACAGGAACTCTATATAAAGACTTTAACACAGGGGTAGCTCTGGTTCGGAGAGGTAGGACCACCGCAGGAGGAAGGGTAAGGTTTTGGCTCTTGGCTCTGACCTCTTGGCTTTCTTCTTTGCATTGGTTCTGTGTTTATTGTTTGATGGGAAGGTTGGATACATCTACATTAGTGCCTTTACCTGCTTAAGCTATCTTGCTGCCCCTAATTTTGTAAGACAAACAAACAAACAAAACTTTCTTTTTGCCTTAAACTTTTTAATTTTTGTAGAAGTGCATGGCTTCTCTTCTTTTGGACTAAAATCAAGTGTAAACTCTGGTTCTTGTCTCATAAAAGCTTGCTGGATTACCCAGGAAAGATTCTCCTGCTTTGCCCTCCCCAGTAGCTGGGACTGTATTGCCACACTAGCTTACCTAGTTGTTCCTGTTTCAGAGTCTCATGCTGAATACAGAATTAACTCAAATAGACCAGAGATATAAAGGTATAAGACTCTTCAGGGAAAACACATTTTTATTATCTTTGATTAGACAGTAGTTTCTCAGGTAGGATACTTCCTATAGTTATGGGTTCCCTTTGAATGTAGCCTCCTGGTGACTGTGGTGTCCCTTAAGTATGACTCACCATGAGTTACACTGTTATCCTTCCTTGTAAGTTCTAAGAAGGGTCTTCCCAGAGCAGGATAGAAGGAGGTGAACCAGATCTAGGGGTTCATCCATCCTAGCCAGTCCAGTGATGGGAGTCACCTCGGGTGTCTTAGTTACTTTTCTATTGCTATTCAGAACACCCTGACCAAGGCAATTTATAAAAGAAAGCATTTGATTTGGGGCATTTAATTGAAGGTTTGCTTACAGTTTCAGAGAGTGAGTCCATAAACCTCATGGCGGAGAGCCTGGCGGCAGGCAGGTAGGCAGACAGGAGCAGTAGCTGAGAGCTCACATCTGTTCCACAAGCAAGAGGCAGAGAGCCAGAGGCTAACTGGAAATGGTGGGGCTTCTGAAACCTCAAAGCCCCCACCCACCCCCATGACATACCTCCTCCAATAAGGCCACATGACTTAATTTTTCTCAAACAGTTCCTCCAACTGCAGACCAAGTATTCAAATATATGAGCCCGTGGGGGCCAGTCTTATTCAAACTACCACAGCTGGCAAGCCAGACAGGGTTCTGATCCATGAAGGCCCAGGCTTAGGTCAGAGAGCGGACCTAAGCGCAGTGTTTCCTCGTGAAAGGGTTGACAGTGGAGTCCCATGTGTTCACTGAAGGGTTGGAGCCTCTGAAGATAAAGCACCTCCACTCAATGCTCCTCGAAGCTGCTGTACCCTCATCTCCTGCCCATGCCTAGTCACAGTTCCCTGGAGCCACAGGGACAGGCCGGGTACCAGAGGCCCTGCATTCCTAGGTGGCTGGCAGAACTGATGCCAGCTAGGGGTACAGGAATGGGTTCATTTTTCTCTGCCAACTAAGTAAAAGACAGGAAAGACCTGTTAGTAGGAATCTTGGGGAGTCCCAGCCGAGCCATCATACGGCACCTGAGGAATTGGTTCTTTTTAGGGTTCTTACTCGTTAATAAAAGAATTTAGAAACACACACAAACAGAAGCTGAGGACAATTAGAGTTCAAAAAAGAAAACCTCAGGGCAGGTGAGCCATAAATCTTGAAGCTGCCTGGAAGAGGGGAGGGGACTGGAGAAGAAAAGGAGCAAGAGCGTGCAGCTTGAGCTGGGCAGCTCATGGGTCAGCCACCTGGTGGCAGCCATCCTTGCAGTGGGGAGCAAGAGCCGTGCAGCTTGAGCTGGGCAGTGTGCAGGTCAGCCGCCATGACAGGCAACCTTCCGGTGGAGCGCAGAGCTTTAAGAAAAGAACAAGGGAGCCCAAGGCATTAGATAGGGGCTTTAAGATAGACTTTGGTCAGTGTCTTTGTTTGTATTGCTGTGATAAAAACCACAACCAAACCGGCTGGTGGTGGCACACACCTTTTTTTTTTTTTTTTTTTTTTTTTTTTTCTGGAGCTGAGGACTGAACCCAGGGCCTTGCACTTGCTAGGCAAGCGCTCTACCACTGAACTAAATCCCCAACCCCGGCATACACCTTTAATCCCAGCACTCAGGAGGCAGAGGCAGGTAGATCTCTGTGAATTCGAGGCCAACCTGGTCTACAGAGTGATTTCTAGGACATCCAGGGCTACACAGAGAAACTCTGTCTCAAAACACACACACACACACACACACACACACACACACACACACACACACACAAACCCAAACCAAAAACAACAATAACAACAAAACAAAACAAAGCAACTTGCCAGAGAGGAAAGTGTTTATTTGGCTCACATTTCTACATTACATACCATCATCAAGGGAAGTCAGGACAGGAATTCAAGGCAGAAACCTGGAGGCAGGGTCTAGAGCAGAGGCCATGAAGGAACTGGCTTGCTCTCCATGGTTTGTTCAGCCTGTTTTCTCATAGCATCCAGGACCACCTGCCCAGGGGTGACACTGCCCATAGGTGGCTGGCCCCTCCCACATTAATCATCAATCAAGAAAATGCTCCATAGGCTTGCCTGCAAGCCAATCTGATGGAGACATTATTTTCAATTGAGGTCCCCCTTCCCAGAGGACGCTGGCTTGTGTCAAGTTGATAAAACAACAACAAAACAAACGAACAAAAACAAACCCCAAACCAAAACAAACTAGCCTGCACAGCCAGCATCTGAAAGAAAAAGACAAGGGAAGAGAAAGAAACAGCTCCACATTTCCTCCTCAAGTCTCAGAAAGACCGACCTCTTGGGGCCTCTGGGTAGGAATTCCGGGAAAGAAGAGTACAGTACGTTAAGGTGAATCTGCGTCTTTAGGGGTGGAGGAGACAAGGGTCCCATCTCCGTCTAGACTGTAGCTGCCATTCTTTGCATAACTACGCCCACCTTTTGCAGCCAGCTGGGCACACACCGAGAAAAGCTGTACCTGTTATTACCTCCAGCCAGCTCCAGCAAGTCAAATCCACAGCCTGCCACCTCACTCTGTGTGGCACTTGCTTTTCTTGTTGCTGTGGCCAAAAGTACCTAAAGAAAACAAAGAAGGGAGGGGGGAGGGGAGGGGGGAGGGAGGGAAGGATGAGGGGTTATTTTGGCTCAGATTCTGAGGGTACAATCCATCATAAAGGTGAAGGTTGGCCGCAGAAGCCAGACACAGCTAGTCACATGGTTACAGGTGTGGATCAGAGTCCAGAGGGGCACCTGCTGAGACTTCCAGGTTCCTGTGTCCCAGAACAAGGAATTGGACCAGAGATACTTAGATTATGATAGAAATAGAGATGTTTTATTGAGAAAAAGAAAAACAGCTTAGAGAGATGGCTCAGGGGTTAAAGGCACTTAATGCCCTTGCAGAGGACCGGAATTTGGCTCCCAGCACCCACATGGTGGCTCACAACTGCCTGTAACTCCAGTTCCAAGGGAACTGGCCTCCTAGTGCATGTAAATTTATGTAAACAAACATAACAAATAATAAATACATCTTTAAAAAAGAGAGAGAGAGAGAAAAATACTCCTGAGAATGGAAGTGGGCTAAGGAGCTGGGACAGGCCCAAGATGCAGAAGATGCATTTCCCAGTGGCTTGGCCTTTTATAGGTTATTTGCATAAGTGCTTGCTTCTCCAAGAGATCTCCTCAGCTTTGTTTCAAGCCTGTAGTTTTGTTATATGCTGCTCTGGTGTGTGTGTGTGTGTATGTGTGTGTTTAGTCTTTCTATTAGCTGGCTTTTTTTATGTGTTTTTCATTCTCTCTCTCTCTCTCTCTCTCTCTCTCTCTCTCTCTCTCTCTCTCTCTCTCTGTATGTGTGTGTGTGTGTGTTCATGTGGGGTGCCTGTGTATGGGGGCCTATATGGGGGCCAGAGGAGAATGCTGGGTGTTGATCAGTCTTATTGAAACTGAAGCTTGCCACTTTAGTTAGGCCTGCTGGCCAGCAGGGTCCCAGAATCCATCGGTCTCCACCCCTCAGTGCTGGGTCACAGGCCATGTCACCATGTAGCCACACATAGCTTTTATGTGAGTGCTAGAGATTTGAACTCAGGTCCTTTAACTTTCACAGGATGTACTCTTGCCCACTGATCTGGCTCTCTAGCTCCTCATGTTAATCATGGCCCCCTTTCTGTGGTCATCATATTACCTCTACAGTCAGGAAGCAGAGAGAGATGAATGCTAATAGCGGGCTGGCTTTTTTTTTTTTTTTTGAGAGGAGGGGCGGGCTAGGGACAGGGTCTCTCTGTATAGTCCTGGCTGCCCTGGAGCTCACCATGTAGACCTCAAACTCACAGAGATCTTCCTGCCTCTGCCTCCTGATTAAAGATGTGTGCCACCATGCCTGGCCTTGACTTTCTTCTTTTTATTCAGTCTGGTAGTCCAGTCCCCAGGATGGCACCTCCCTGACCCATTCAGATGGCTCTTCTCTCTTTGTTAAACTCTTCTAGAAACATCTTAATAAGCACACTCAGAAGTCTATTTCCATGCTGATTCTAAATCCAGTCAAATTGATAATTAAAGTTAACCATCACAGTTCTTGGGCCCTAAGATGGCAAAACCATTGACCTGCCCTTTATTCTGACTGGTAGGAGTCAAGAAAGGGGAATGACATCGTCTTTGTTCATTATCACCCACCCCCTGCTGGAAACTTTGTCCTTTCTTCTAGAGAAGGTACCAAGACCCAGAAGAAAATTACTAACCTGACTCCTAACTTGCATGAGGCAGAGCCTAACTACATCTTGAGTCATAAAGACAAAACAAGTTAAAAATCAGCAGCAAAACAGATGTGGTAGCTGTATTGTCTGGTTTTTGTGTACCTAGAAGTTGGTATTAGGGACTGGGGTATTTCTGTGATAGGCCTGACCATGCTTTAGTTTGAAGGAATTTGTGTGTCAACTTGAAACAAGCTAGAGTCATCAGAGAGGAAGGAGCCTCAGTTGAGGAAATACCTCCATGAGATCCAGGTATAAAGCATTTTCTCAATTAGTGACTGTCTTAGTTAGGGTTTCTATTGTTGTGAAGAGATACCATGATGGTAATGTATTAAACCTTTGAAACTGTAAGCCACCACCTCAATTAAATACTTTCCTTTATAAGAGTTGCCATGATCATGGTGTCTTGTCATAGCAATAGAAACCTTAACTAAGACAGAAGTTGGTACTAGGGACTGGGGTATTTCTGTGATAGGCCTGACCATGTTTTAGTTTGAAGGAATATGAACATTGATACTGTTGAATGCTTTAAGTGCTGCTTAATGGGCCATCCCAGTAGGAGCATGGAGGACAGTGGTGCTGAGTGAGATTTGAACTGAGGGTGTCTGAATCAAGATGTTTCAGAGGAGAAGAATATTAGTGTGTGGCCTAGAGACCAGTCTTGTGATATTTTGGTGAAGAATGTGGGTGCTTTTTGCCCTTGTCCGAAAAGTCTCCCTGAGGCCAAAGTGAAGAGTTTTGGGTTAATTCTGCTGGCAGAAGAAATCTCAAAACAGCTGAGTATAGACTCTGTCATCCTCAGTCATACATGAAGATTTATAACAAAAAGGAGCAAGCTATGAAAGGAAAAACACAAAATGTACAATTTGAGGAGAAAAGGAGCACCAGGAATGGAGTTAAGTGGAATGGAGTTAAATCCTGTGTTCAAGGAGATAAACAGATTAAGAAATGAAATAAAAGGGAGTGGTGACCTCAGGGCAAGATCCCACTCAGCTAAGCTTCCAACTTGTTAAAAGGAATTAAATAAAAGCTTAGAGCCAGTTGTGGTGGGGCACACCTTTAATCCCAGCACTGGGAAGGCAGAGGCTGGCAGAGCTCTGAGTTTGAGGCTAGCTTGATCCACAGAGCAAGTTTCAGAACAGCCGAACTTAGGCAGTGAAGGAAACCATCAAAAACAGAAAGCTGGTGAACATGTGTAGATGTATCCAACCTTCTTATTAAATAAGAAACACAGAACCAATGCAAAGAAAAAAGCCAAGAGGTCAGAGCTAAGAGCTAAAACCTTACCCTTCCTCCTGTGGTGGTCCTACCTCTCCGAACCAGAGCTACCCCTGTGTTAAAGTCTTTATATAGAGTTCCTGTCCTGCCTTCTCATTGGTTGTAAACCCAACCACATGACCGCCTCCTCACAGCCTGTCTGTATAGGCCTCCAGGTTTTCCATGATTGGTATTAAGATTAAAGGCATGTGTATCCAATAATGGCTGTATCCCTGAACACACAGAGACTTACCCAGCTCTGCCTACCAAGTGCTGGAATTACAAGCGTACGCTACCACTGCCCTGGTTTCCTATGGCTTGCTAATAGCTCTGACCCCCGGGCAACTTTATTTATTAACATACAAATAACATTTTAATACAAATAAAATATCACCATAAACATGTAATTGAACAAGGGGGCCATGTTCCAGCCCCAGTAAGCAGTAGAACTTGGCAGCTTTGGCCATGTGGTTCCAGAGTTAAGGATAGAAGAAAGGGGCTATGGAACCTTCCTCAGTGACTAAGGAAAGCTGCTGAGGCCAGGCATGTGTCAGTGGTGTCCCATTGTGTGAAGCTGTGAAGGTGAAGCTTGGATTGCCTTGGAGATCCCAAGATGTTGGAGATGCCAGAGCTGTGGGATACCTGTTGAGGAGAGCTGCTTACAGGGAGTGGAACCTACCCAAGAGAGAGAAGTGTGTTACAGTTAACGAAAGTGAAAGGAGTTGGAGATCTGGGGATCACTTTGACATCAGACATGGAGATGCAGAGTTTGGAGTTTGCCCAGCTGGTTTTTGCTCTTGCTTGGTCCAGTATTTCCTCACTATGCTCCCTTCTTTGTATTTTGGAATGGTAATATATATTCT